CCCCATTCAACCTCGTTTCCCCCCCCATCCACACCCCTGCCCCCTGACCACTACCCTGAACTCCCCTGCCTTCTATTCAACCCCCCCAGATCTGTGCCCCCTTACCGCGCTGCCTGGAGCACTGGTGGCTGGTGGCACTACAGCCGCGCCGCCCGGCTGGAGCCGGGCCATGCCGCGGCCGCCACCACAAAGCTCAGAGCACCAGGTCAGGCCCGGCTTTGCACCTGCGCTGCCCCAGGAGCTCACAGCCCCACCACCCAGAGCATTGCGCCAGCGGTGGAGCGAGTGAGCTGAGGCTGCAGGGGAGGGGAGACAGCAGGGGAGGGGCCTGGGGCTAGCCTCCCAGGCCAGGAGCTCGGGGGCCAGCCAGGACGGTCCCGAGGGCCGGATGTGGCCTGCGGGCCATAGTTTGCCCACCTCTGCATTAGAATTTTCCATAACTCTTTCTTTCTCTCTTTCTTTCAGTGTTTTGACAAGGAGGAGCTATTAGAGTGCATCCGGAAGCTTGTGGAAGTGGAAAAAGAGTGGGTCCCGCACTCTACATCTGCAAGCCTGTATATCCGCCCTACTTTAATTGGAACAGAGGTGTGGAAAAAACTTTTTTTTCTTCTGAGTTTTATATACATTTTCATTGCTTTGTTCTTATCTTAAACTTTTGAAATCCATATTGTGTAATAGGCCATGGCAAGGAGACTAAAGCATTTAATTCTCTTTCTACAGCTGGAGTGGCAATCATATTTTGGCACTTAGGCTAGAGCAGTGATTGTAAGCTCTTCAGGGCAGAGACTGTCCCTTACGTTTGTACAGTGCCCATCACAATGGGGCCCTGATCTCGACTGAGGCCTGTAGATCCTGCTGTAATACAACTCATAATAAACATTCTATACAGATCTTTTTATTTTGAGGCATTGGGATATATTCACCAGTATTCTGTGGCTGATTTGTGTCTCTCTGGCCATGTAAAGTTTCTATACATTTGGTTTAGCAGGCCAATCAAAGTTGGTTTATGGCATCTTTGCATTGCCAGAAGAGTGCACAGCACCCATAATGCACTAGTGAATGTAGTGCCACGAGTTTTATGAATGGCAGGCTGCTTGGTTAACTATATTTTACTTATTTTCCCTGTCTCTGGTATGTAAATGATTGCTTTCAAAAGTAGCATGTTAGAAAATAGATTAACCACATTTGGCTTCAGTGGAATCTTATTGCTTAACTCCCCCACAATACAAATCAAATGGCATCTATTCTTTTTTCTTCCAGTCATGAAAGGTGCTGGCCTGGCCTGGACAGAAGTCCTTTATTTATACATAGAACAGTGGTTCTCAACTTTTGTACTGGTGACCCCTTTCACATAGCAAGCCTCTGAACGCCACCCCCTTATAAATTAAAAACACTTTTAAATATATTTAACACCATTATAAATGTTGGAGGCAAAGCGGGGTTTGGGGTGGAGGCTGACAGACCCCCCATGTAATAACCTTGCGACCCCCTGAGGGGTCCTGACCCCCAGTTTGAGAACCCCTGACATAGAACATATGTAATATGGACAGCATCAGAACAAGCTTGTACGCCTCACCCACATCCTGGAGTGAAGATCTCTCAGGGTGATGAGACAGTTCAGTCTTCAACACCCATTCAGTCATCAGCCTCTTTTTTTAGTCTGCCAACAGAAGAACTAACATAACCTGACTGTCTGGATAATCAAGAAAAACCTACCCTCTTTTGCTTTTTAAGAATGATTTGAGAAGTTGCTATCCCCTTGGCAATATCTGTACTATAATCTCATACGCATGTTGTATGTTTGTATTTTGTATTATATATATTAAACCAAAGACCTTTTGGCCACCAATTTGGAAGCACTGGTGTGGTTGGATTTTTTTGTTCATTCAATGTGGGACCCTATGGCAGCGTTGAGTCTGGCACATTTAAAGCGATGCCACAGTATAATCTCTCTCACGTAATTGCATGTACCTTTTTTGTGTTTGTATACATACTCATCATTCCAAGAATTCCATCCATACATGCCTCTGAATACTCACTAATCACAGTATTCCTTCCCTGTCCTGCTTTTCTACTACAGATTGGCTGGTAGGTTTGTGCTCACTCCTGCTGCTGGAACATAAATGCATCCAGGTTTCACCAATTCAAAGAGGAATCAGAAGTTTGCTAACAAATTGTGGTCTCTTTTGTGGATTCCCCACATGTTGCTGCCAAGTGGTAGGCTGGTCAAAGTGTGATAAACTATAGAGCTATAATTGTAGCAGAACCAGTAAATCAGACTGTCTGTTTGGCTGCCAGTAAAAATAGTGTTATCTTTATTACTTCAAGTGAGAATTATACAGCTAGCAGAACATATAAGCCAATTTCAGTGATGGGAAAAATCTTTAACAGTGTTTAATCCAAACCATTTTTTCCAATGATTGCCTACCTGCGATTGTTAAATTCTCTTTGCCATTAGCACATTGATTTACCTAGGAAATGCTCCACTCCGTAGAGCCTCATTTTACGACAGCTCATTTACATTGAGCACAGCACCATCTAGTGGACATACTTGTTCAGATCATTAGATTTAAGATAATTTTAATGAATGATTTTAACTTTTTTTCTATGCAGTATATTTCAACTGAGGTTTTGTAGGAAAAGGAGACTAGCTAGTTACACAGCAATGTGTGTATTGAAAATTTGAAAAGTAATTGAGAGAAAAGGCTGTGGGAGATATAGATGCTAATTCAATGACTGAATTTCATGGTCTCCCACTGGCAAGGTAATTAAAGACCAAAAGATAATTTAAAGTTGTTCCCCTCTGGAGGAGCCCTAACTGCTACTCTCTCATGGGTGAATTTTCCCTCATTCATGGATGAATTTCACCTCTGTTGCAGCTCCCCTGTAGGACTATGTGTGTGCATATACACAAATTGCTTGTGGATGTGATTGAAGCAAGTCTACAATGTCAGTAAAACAATTTGGATAAGAAATACTTTAGTTTCTTGTAAGCTCTCATAAGAGGGAAAACTTTATGTCTTACTGGCTAGATTATAGGAATCAGGGTGTGATTCCTGTTCCCAACTCTGCCACTGATTTCCTGTCTGCCCTTGGGCAAGTCATTTCATTTCAATTCCCCATCTGTAAATAATCTTTGTAAGACTTAGCTGCCTCACAAAGGTGTTGGGGCTTTGTTAACTTAATGTTTGTAAATCACTTGCAGACCCTCAATGAAATGATCTCTCTGCAGTAACTGCAAAGTATTAATATGAAGTGGGATTCGCTATAGTGATTTTCAGAGGTTCTTCAATGTGGGGCTTCATTAGGCAAGTAAAGTGCTCTCATTGTTTCAGGTTAGTCCACACTGTTCGGGCCTTTACCCATATCAAGCAGAAAAATTGCTCTGACTTGCAAAAGATAAACAACAGGACTCCTTGTTTTCTAGCACTATCCTCCTAGGGTCTACACCTGCTGCCACTTAGCAGCATCAGGGCCTTAGTTAACTATCTTTTTTCTTTGGCTAAGGTCTAGTGAGAAATCAAAAAAGACCTCAAGGGACCTGAAGGATATATATCTGAATGTGCCAATGGTTCCAGGGCCTCAGCAGGACCCCAAGATTTAGTTTAGTGGTTCTCACATACAGTATTATGCCCTGATCCTGGGCCTATCATGTTTTTACAACATTAATTTGTGTCGTGGCCACCCATCTTAAAAATCAGGAAGTAGCTGTCACTCCTGATTTGGGTGACTGATTAGTCTTTGGGGAAAGAAGATAGAAATTCAGTTAGTTGTAGCTAAAACCCTGGACTGGTTTCAGAAACTGTAACTTCTTATGAATCAAGACAAGCGTCTTCTGACAACAATCAGGGTCTTGTCTAGGGTTGCATTTGCAGACAAGTCTTCCTCTCATTCCTGAGGACCATGAAAGCTTTGGTCTGGGACTTCAGGGTGCTGGATGTCGCAGTTTCTGCCTCTTGCAATCCTATAGCGCTCTCCTGGGATCACCTGCAGTTTTGAATGGTTCAGGTGCTACTGATAAAAGCTGCTCATGCAATCTGGTTAAAACTGTTCTAGTTCCTCCTCATACCTGCAGGAAGTTCATTCATCCAATGAGACTTGTTGAATTGACCTGTTCTGTAGTGTGGTAACCACAAATGCCAGTCTTTTTGGGTGGGGAGCTCATGCAGGGCCCCAGATGGCACTGTGAAAGCAATCTCCCCTAAAACCAAAGAGAAATCTCAAGATGGGCAGTTTCAGGGGGATTCTAGTGGGGAAAAAGACAGCAATGACCCAGTCAAACGACTCTGCTGTGGTAAGTATATACCTGAACCAGAAAACCCAGGATAAGAAGACTGTAAATCACTTAGCTGGCTAATCTGAATACGGTGTTCAATGAGGATCTTCATCCCTCCCCTCATTGTTTAGATCCTTAAGCAATGAGTTGGCCTCAACAGACCTATTTACTCGGAAGCAGCAAACACGCGGCTCCTGCCATACTGCATGGGGTACCTGTTCTCAGCCAGGCTGTTGCACACACTAGATGCTGTGGTCAGGGTTCCATTGTGCATAGAATCCAGCCCCAGAGATCCTCCTGATCCCATATCCCAGTCTGTTAGGCAAGTTTCTATCTGTCTTCCTGTTACATACAGAGGTCCAAAAAAACGGGAATAATGTCATAATGACTGCTTCCACGCAGCCAGTTCACCACTCTTCCCTTCAGCCTATCGGTGGCCCCCTGGGGGTTTTCACGAAGTGTCTGACGGTAGTATCTCGACAACTGGCTGACAAAAGTCAGTCACAGGCTCGAGTTCAGAACAACATCAGCATGGTCCAAGCCACCTTCTGAGCACTGGGCTTGCTGATAAACAAACAGAAGTCAACTCTTGTCCCAGCTCAGAGAATAGAATTTATTGGGGCGGTGCTCAACTCAGCTCAAGCCAGTGCCTTCCTGCTGGAGGCCTGGTTCTAGACTATGTCAGACCTGATATCCAGTGCCTGGGTCCACCCAATTACAACAGCTCGGGTTTGCCTGAAGCTACAGGGGCAAATGGCGACATGTACTTACATGGTTCAACATGCAAGACTGCACCTCAGGGACCTTCTGATGTGGCTAGTGTCAGTATATTCCCCAAGCAGACACCTCTTGGACTCCATGCCAACAGTTCCTCCCCTATTCCTTCACCTCCCTGAAATGGTGGAATGACCCAAGATCAGTAATGATGGGGATGCTCTTTGTTATCCCTCAACCATTGGTAGCTTTAATCTCAGACAGGTCAGACCTAGGGCAAGGAGGCCTCCTCACCAACCTCAGGACTCAGGCCTCTGGTCCCAAGAAGAACTCTCCCTGCATATAAACGTCAGGGAGCAAAGAGCGGTATGCTTAGCTTGTCAAGTATTCCTTCACCAGATCTCAGGCCAGGTGGTGCAAGTCCTGACAGACAATAGTGCGGCCATACCAGCTATATCAACAAGGAGGGAGGGGCCTGATCTTCGGCCCTGTGTCAGGAAGTCATCCGTCTATGGGACTTCTGCACGAAACACTCCATCCATCATGTCACATCTCCCAGGAGTCCGGAAAGTACCGGTGGATCACCTCAGCAGATCCTTTTCCTCTCACCATGAGTCCCTTCACCCGGGGGTCACCAGGTTCATCTTCCAAATATGGGGGCCTCCCCAGGTGGACCTGTTCGCTACCAGACAAAACAGGAAATGCCATCGGTTTTGCTCACTGCATGGTCACAGCCTGGGCTCCCTCTCCGATGCTTTCCTGCTCCCATGGCAAGACCCTTACATCAGAACCGCCTTACACTGTGTTCTTTAAGGACAAGGTCCAGCTGTGCCCTCCACCCTGCCTAAGGTGGTGTCACAATTCCATAACAGCCAGGCCATTTTCCTGTCTGTTTTTTTCCCCAAGTCTCACAAGACCTCTGAGGAACAGCAGCTTCACTCATTGGACATTATGTGGGACCTCACCTCTTATACTGAGAGGACTAAACTCTTCCGCAAATCCACACAACTCTTTATAGCAATAGTGGAAACGGTGAGAGGATGACCTACCTGTGTCAGCCCAGAGGATCTCATCCTGGATAGCTGCCTGTATTCGGGCTCGCTATGAGCCATCTTAACTGTTCACTCCACAATAGCCCAAGCTTCGTCAGCAGCATCCCTCTCATAGGTCCCAATCCAGGACATCTGCAGGGCTGCAACCTGGTCATCAGTACATACCTTCGCATATCACTACGCCATCACCCAACAGGTCTGGGATGAAGCCACTTTCAGGAGAGCAGTGTTGCTGTCAGCATGTGCATGAACTCCAACCCCATCTCCAGTGATACTGCTTGTGAGTCACCTAACACGAAATGGACATGAGCAAGCACTCGAAGAAGAAAAATGGTTACTTTTGTAACTGTTGTTCTTTGAGATGTGTTGCTCATATCCATTCCACAACCCACCCTCCTACCCCTCTGTCAGCGTTAACAGTAAGAAGGAACTGAGAAGGTGCATGGCTGGCGGTGCCCCTTATACTGGCAGATGAGCGTGTGGCTCTGGAGGCACTAGAGCCAGCCCAACGGATACCACTGAGGGAAAAATCTCTGGCAACAGTGCACTTGGTGCACACGCACCTAAAGTGGAATGAACATGAGCAACACATCTTGAAGAACAACAGTTACGGAAAGGTTAGTAACCATTTTTTATGACGTCAAACGAAAGCCATGTGTAAAATAAGGGTTGCTTAGGCCAGAGATTCTCAGCCTTTTTCTTTCTGAGTCTTCCTCCCCTCCCCACCCCATGCTATAAAAACTCCATGGCCCAACTGTGCCACAACGGTTTTTCTGCATATAAAAGCCAGGGCCAGCATTAGAGGGTAGCAAGTGGAGGAATTGCCCAGAGACCACACGATGGGACACCGTGAAGCTAAGTTGCTCAGGCTTTGGCTTCAGCCTGGGTGGTGGGGCTTGGTGCCCCGGGCTGCAGTCCTATGTAGTGGGACTTCGGCTTTCTGCCCTGGGCCCTAGCAAATCTAACACTGGCCATGCTTGGTGGAGCTGCTGAAACCTGCTCACGACCCCTCAAGGGGCCCCGGACCCCTGGTTGAGAACCACTGGCTTAGGCTGGTTTCTGAAGTGGCATCTTTGGAGATGCATTGTGCCCTTTGACCAATGATGGAGCACCCTCCTGCGGCAGGTGCTTTGAAAGTGGTAACTCAGAAAATCTAAACTCTGACATGAAGAAGAGAAGAAAACAAAACAAAAATGATGTGTGTTTCTTTTACTGTGCAGCCTTCTCTTGGAGTCAAGAAGCCAACTAAAGCCCTGCTGTATGTTATACTGAGTCCTGTGGGCCCATACTTTGCAAGCGGAAGCTTTAATCCAATATCCTTATGGGCAGATCCCAAATATGTAAGAGCCTGGAAAGGAGGAACGGGGGACTGCAAATTGGGAGGGTAAGAGAGCCTGATTATGCATTAATTACATAGCTCAACTGTTGGATTATTTTTTCCTTTCAGTAAAATTTTGGCTATGATGCTGTATTATTAAATGTTGCAAATCAAAAATTGTAACAAAGGCATTTCCAGAAAAGAGGTAGCTCACCTCCAGTCAAAATGGGCTACAAAATAGCAGACTGCCGATCTGTTCACCTTGCATAGATAGACTAAGGCCAAGGTTGTTAAACTGTAGTTTGTGGACCACTGGTAGTCAGTCCATAATGAGCTGCATGGGTCTGTGGAGCTGTCTCTTCATGATTCCAGCTGCTAAAATAAAGATAAATCAAATGCTTTTCTAATGTTGTTTCTCCATGTGAGCAGTTGCTGCTGTTCTGTCAGAAAATGGAGCAGAAGGTGTACATGAGACAATTTCTGTGTTAAATTGTCACACTATGAAAAGTTTTGAGAATGTGGGCAAAAGTTTGGAATAAGGGCAATTGCAAAGAGGCAGGGACTCAGAGAAACTTCTGTCCTGTCTTATTTTTTGGGGGAAAATGTATATGGAAGTTTGATCTACCTTAGTCACTGTTGAAAGTCAACAGTGTTTGACTAGAGTTACCAGATCGTTTCCCAAGTGTGGTAATTGTCTGTAAATGTTGAAGTTAAAATTAATCCCAGTTTAAAGTGTTCATGCAGTGCCTCGTGATTTTCTGCCTCCTTTTATCAAAATGTGAAACTTGTTTTTCCTAAAATCTTGCAAATTTGTGTGTGTACATGTTTGAAATATGCGGTTATAAAGAAAACCAAAGTTAAAAATCAAAAAGTTTAAATCTCTTCTGACTGGATTTCTGTCAGCAAATCCATTGGGTAAAGAGTTAAACATCAGACAACAGCAACAGCCAGTGAGAGCTCAGGGGAGGGAGGGAGCCTGTACGGCTAGGGGAATCCCCTGTCTCCTATTGAACTGCTTCAAGTTTTCTGCTTCTACACATAGACTAGCTTTAAGCCATAAACTTGAAGTGCTGTGGCCTTCACTGCATAATCTGTTAGCCGCTTTGCTTGTACAAACATAACACTTTCATGAGTCAGTTGGGTCAGGGGTTACCTTTACATCCCAGGATCCAATGGAGCTGTCTGGTAGTCCACAGACCCTGTGGAGCAGTATGGTCCTGGTAGGTAGGGGGAACCCTTGACTCTGGCTGAGCCCTTCAGAGTTTTATTTTGCAGAAGCAAAGTGACTTGTAGTTCATTCATTTAAGTGCTGCCAATGGAATCGTGTCAGGGGCAGGAAATGACTTTGCAGAGCATTAATCGAGAGGCAGATTTGGCAATCTGGGCACTGAAAGTAATGTAAGCTGTTTTTAGAAATAGGAGAATTAGGAAGTTTTATGGCAGGAAAATACCCAGCTAGCTAGTGATAGCTGTTTCTTTTTCTTTTGTTCCTGAAAGGAATTATGGTTCTTCCATCTATGCCCAGCGTGAAGCTATGGAATTAGGGTGTCAGCAGGTTCTGTGGCTGTATGGAGAGGATCATCAAATCACTGAAGTCGGAACAATGAATCTTTTCCTGTACTGGGAAAATGAAGATGGAGGTATGATAGTATGTGGCAGTAAACCTCTGCTCTTTGCAGTCCTCAGGCCTGGGAGCCAGTTGTAACCTCAGGCCTGGTGTCAGTGTTGTATGGATAATGCTTCTTGTGTTTGTAGTTCTGGCCCAAAGAATAGCGATCTGCATTGCCTTCTTTTTCTGTTTTAGTGGGAGGAGGGAAGTCACCCCTTAGTCAATCCCCACTAGCCCACACAACTTCTTCCTTCCAGCAAGTCCCTTCCAAAGAAATGGGGTTTGGGACCTTCCCTCTGGGGAGAAGGCAGGTGATCAGAGACTCTGACCTTGCAGTTCTGCGACAGGCTGCGATTGCCTTCTTTATCTCTTCTGCTTCTGTCATGGCCTCGAGCAGGGGCATCCCCATCTATTCCTGAACCATGACCTGTGTCCACAAAGCAATCAGACCTTCCTTTTGAATCATGATTTTCCCGCTAAGCAAGACAGGAGAAGCTGCTACATCTTTTAATCTTCTACATCTTTAATCCTGGTAAATTGCTTTGAAGATGTAGGACCAGATTTTTAAAGCAATACTAAATTTTTTTTTTTTTGCATCTGCAATCATTTGTGGTTGGAAATTATGCCACTTAGACAACTGATTGTCTAATTACTGCATGCAACCAGATATTTAGACACTTGCGTACCTTCATTTGTGCATGCAATTATTTATGTCTACAAAATTGTGCCTGCAGTTGGTTCTTAGTACAGAAGGGTAACCTAATTTGAAGGACTATGGGCCTGATCCAAAGCCAATACAAGTCAATAGAAAGACTCCCATTAACTTCCCAGGACTTTGGCTCAGGTCCTAAATAAAGGCAAAGTGTTGTTCCACCATCTGCCAGTCTCAGAAACAAAAGAACAAGAAATCGGGATTCAAGCTCTGATCCTTTTCATGACAATGCAATGCACACTCTTGTAAAATGCCATTTCATTGCCATTTTTCTGCCAGTGCTATAGTGGTGGTTAGTAGTGGCTCACAATGGAAACAGCATTGTGTTTTATTTAGCATAAGAGTCTGTGAGTCAAGAAACCTGGGTTCTATTTCCAATTTGACTGCTGATTCTTGGGCAAATCCCTTAAATTTCTCTGTGTCTCAGTTTATACAGCTGTAAAATAGGGATAATATTTACCTAGCTCTAAAAAACTTACTGAGATCAAGTGAATGATTCTATATATGTGAATGTTGTTATTTAATATTTCATCACAGTGGATTAGACATTGTAGCTATTGGGTCAAATTCACCCCTTGTGCACCTTCACTGGAGTTACACCAGCAAGGAATTTGGCCCATTTGGACAGAGTTGAACAAGAAGTTGGTTAGCATTCAGTGTTCTGCTTTGTTTTTCAACCAGGAATAAGCAGGAATTATCCAGCTGCAATACCATACAGTTCCAAAGATCTGCTAACCAATGTGTTACCAGTGCACTACTGAATAGTATCATTCTGACATGGGTGGAACAAACAATCTGTAATTCATGCCATCCAGCCTACTATATGCCAGTCCTATTCCAAAACAGACCGGCCATTACACATGCTATGATCACTTGCACTGCAAGGGCAATTAGCTATTTAGCAATGTATTACTAAGAAGCCTGGGTAAGACCTAAAACACCTACAACTGTTGGTTGCCATCAAGAAAATGCGCACCAGTGTATAACTGCCTACCCCCTTGCACCGTGGCAAAAAGTGACTGCTATTGTGCTCTTTCTCTTCATAAGGAATACTACTAGGACTAGGGTGACCAGATAGCCAGGGTGAAAAATCGGAACAGGGGGTGGGAGTTAATTGGCACCTATATAAGACTAAGCCCCCAAATATGGGGTCTGTCCCTATAAAATCGGGACATCTGGTCACCCTAAATGCTACTTAGGTGGTCCTTGTTTTGTTTGCTTCATTGTGCATATATTGCAGTAGTAGTGGTGGTGATGGGTGGGGAGGGAGAGGGAGATTAAGCATAGAAATACAGTAGATTTGGAACTAGAAATCATGGGTACAGTTTAAGCATCAGGACCATACAGCTCATTGTGTGTTCAGGGAGTAATGTAAACTCTGTGTGTATGTGCTATGTTTTTTGTGTACCTTCATGAATGCACTAGATGGGGACTGATTTCAACAGTGCTGCAAGCCGTTTCTAGATCATTTTAGCCCTGGAATTGGACAAAAGAGGTGTCTAACATTCCAGTCTTGGGTGAACCCTAGAAAATGTCTCATTCACAATGGTGGTAGGGGGAGGGGGAAATTACCTAATAACCTCTGGTAAATTTGCATGACACACATTATGCTGATTCTGTACATTTAGCATTGCTCTGGCTGAGTTTATAAGGTAGCTAAATCTGGATCACTATTGTTACAGGAATAACTGAGCGCAGTAGTTTCTGTTCATGAAATACTGCTTTCACCAGTGGCATATTTGGAGAGTGACATATACCCAGGAAGGTTTCCATGTTTACAAAATGTAAAGCTTGATCACTATGTGATCCTACAGGCCTACCTTTTCACGGCACATAACGTTGTTGAGAGACAAAGGGTGGCAGGAGTGGAAAGCATGTTAAATGGAATGTCTGTTTCTTCTATCTAGGGGCTTAGCTTGGCAGAGATGAAGACCTTTAAAATCAAAACAAATGTACAGTCTAGAGAATATATCAAATGGGGGCTGTACACTATGGAATCTGTTTCTGTTTTCCAGTATACAGAGGCAGTGTTGAGAATAGTTAGCTGCAAAGAGTCAGGACACCTGGGTTCTATTTCTGGCTGAACCATTAAGCCACTGTGTGACCTTGGGCAAATTATTTATCTCTGTGCCTCAGTTATCCCATCAATAAAATGGGAATAATAATACCTACTTCACAGGAGTGATGGGATGCTTAATTCTTAAAAGCTCTTTGGAATCCTCAGATGAGGGCCAGCCCTATACCACATGGTGCCCCAGGTGAGGAGCGTCTTCAGCGCCCCACTCCATTAGCTAAACTTTTGAATATCTTATTTTTATTGTATTTATAGCCCATTTCACAACTTTGATGCACAATTTATCCCTGTTATATAAGATATAAATATGCACGCCAGGATCTGTAAATCTGTATTTATTCATGCCATATATAAGCAAAGTACACTTTTGCATTTACATAATAAAACAAAGTTCACAATATCGCAGCTGGGCTCTCACTTCACTTTGTTCTTATATCTCATTGACTGACTGGCAATGTCCTGCCCCTTATATACAACATTCTAGGAGGTTTTGAGGAAAATGTACCTCTCAGAAAGTCTGGAAGTTTCCATGAGATTCTACGAAGGTCCAGAACATTGTAGGTGGTTAGTGAAAAATGAATCCACATACAGAATACCTGAAACATTTTACTTCAAACATCCTATTTTCCCTTTTGTCACTAACAACAAAAATAGCACCCCAAGCCTGGTGTCCCCCAAGCCGGCATCCCAGGTGGTTGCTAGGGTCACCTGCCCCCTCAATCCAGCCCTACCTCAGATGAAAAGACTCACAGAAGTTCAAAATAATGCTATTATATGTGTGAAAAATAGAGCTCGATGATTGTTAAAATGGTCATTGTGCTGAAGAAAGTGCCATGTGGTGGTGGAGCATGAAGTTTGCTGGTGACACTGTGTGGGCTGTTAGATGCACAATGATCCTAAAAGGATGGATTATTTTTGTAGAGAGTGACAGAGAGATTGACAAATGTATGGGATGACAGCCAGAGAAAGGAAAAAAAGAGAGAGGGATAGAGGGCCTGGGAACAAGTAGCAATCGGAACAAGAAGGGAGGGGAAAATGGAATGGAGAACTGGGGTGAAAGGAATGTGTGAGGAAAAAAGAAAAAAATGAAGGAGAGAGCAGCACAGAGGGACAGGGAGATTGGGTTTATGATAGGGTATGAACCCCAGAGCTTCCTGAGGCCTATGTGATCCAGAAGTTCTCTTGGTGGCCCCACCCATGCAAACATTTTGGTGTTTTTCTCCATTTTGTAATAATCTGCCTAGACCTAAACTCATCTCCTATGCATCAATCAGTGCATGTTCATAAATAGTTGTGGGATAAATGAAGGGGGTGTAGACACCCAGCCAGCCAGTTAGCTGTAAAATCCCTCTTGGTGTCTATTCTCTGCTTGCCCACAGATAAAAGTAAAGGAGTGGACACCTGACCAAAAGAGCCAATGGAAAGGCTAGAACATTTTAAAATTGGGAAAGAAGCTTTCCCTTTGCGTCTGTTGTGTTTCTCCGGGAAAGAGGGGAACAGAGGGCAGCAGGAATGCTGTGTAAATCTTTAAGACAGGTATGAGAAATCATCAGATTATACCTAGAATTACTTATTTGAAACCCCCCAAATATGTAAGTAAATTAGGAATGTTTAAATAGAGGCGATCAGGTTTATTTCTTTATTTTGGCTTGTGGATCTCCTCTGTGCTAACCCCAGATGCTTTTGTTTACTTGTAACCTTTAAGCTGAATCCCCACGAAAGCTATTTTGGGTGCTTAATTTTTGGAATTGCTCTTTTAAAATCTAGCAAAAGCCTAAGTTCCAGATGCATTTTCTTCCTTTTTGTTTTTAATAACATTTACCTTTTTTTAAAACAAGATTGGATTTTTGGTATCCTAAGAGGTTTGTGCATGTTGTTTGATTAGCTGGTAGCAACAGCTAATTTCCTTTGTTTTCTTTCTCAGCTCTTCCCCCGAGGGCGGGTGAAAGGGCTTGAGGGTACCCCACAGGAAGGAATTCCCAAGTGCTCCTTCCTGGGTCCAAGGGGTTTTTTTGCATTAGGGTGGCGGCTGCGTTTACCAAGCCAAGGTCAGAAAAAAGCTGTAACCTTGGGAGTTTAATACAAGCCTGGAGTGGCCAGTATTAATTTTTAGAATCCTTGCAGACCGCCACCTTCTGCACTCGAAGTGCCAAAGTGGGGATTCAGCCTTGACAACTTGCATGAAAGACTTGAAGCTTATGTTGTTCAGTAAAATACAAGACCTAATTTTAAAATCACTTTACGC